CATCTCTAGGTGAAAAGCTGACTAATAAATCATTAAGGATTCGTTCAGGTATGAGCAAACCGAGTTGAACCAGATCCATGCCGAAGAAGGGCGTGCTAATGGTGGTGACTATAGTGAAGAGGGAGAAGACGAGGAAGACAAAAGGTGCGTTTTTTCAGTAAGCATTGAACAGTTAAATGGACCATGCTGCACTATATTACTATTGCCTCTATTGGAATCATATTTTAGCTTCCACGTCCATGCATTTCCTTTTTTTTTGAAAGGGAGAGGGGATTTAATATAAAGCACCAATCCAAATCACCTAGTACTTCCTGTTGGTAGAAGTGCCTTAAGGCATCAGCTCGGACACTTTTTGCTTAATTCAGTTGAAAAAACGTTTCTTTTGCATGGATCTCGTGACAGATCATTATTGCTCATCCTTTGCGTTCAAGCACAACTGATTTCAAATGGTAACAAATTCTTAGTCACTCTTGAAATGCCTCACATATCAAGCCTGTCTCAATTGCCTCCTTTTACCCATACTGTGGAGCTTCCTCGAATTCTACTACTGGCGAAATCCTTACTTCCTAAACAAGATGTTCACAACAATCCAAGCGCCGTCAAAGGGTGCGCGATAAAAGCCGAAGAAAGAAAATTAGCGTGAAATGCTGTTTTCCTCTTTTTTACAAGCAATTTAACGTTTTCTTACTTCGCTTTTAATTGGAAAACTTTTTAAACTGGATCGTTCAGATTTTGGAGGCAATAATCATTTTAAGCCGAAAAGAAACAAGAAACCTTACCAACTACTTGTTTCCCTTAGCGAATACAAAGATTTATGCATGCGCGTAGCAAAGATGTTCCAGCTGCAACGACCTTCATGTTGTGAAACGCTTCTTCTTTTGAGTTATAGCTGATACGTTATGTTTAGACAGGTGGGAAGGTCTATCAAATTAATAAAGAATTAACCATTCAGCATATTCTCTTTTATTAAGCCTATAAATTACAGTACTAGGTTCGCTGGCTTAAATCTTGCAGCCACATATGTCGAAGAAGCTTTGATGTAATGTGCTGTCAAAAACTGGCAGGGAACTGTTTTGCAGTGCTATCAGGAGTGGGTGTGTATAATTTTAACAGTATGACATTATCGGATTGAGGAAAAGAGATTAGATACGTCTTCCATAAGATCACATGTAAGGGCTGTTTGCGCCCTTAGTTTATAAAGAAACTTCTCTATTACTCTTGGACAGATAGGGGTTCTATCAGACGAAGTGATGAGCTGACGTTTTCGATGCACTTTTGTGTCCTTCAAGAAAAAAGAATGTAGTTTTCTTGCTTTGTT